TATAGGGCTGTTGATTGTGACATACGCAGTTTTTGAAATATTCCCAAAAATTGCATTTTCAAAAATACCACTTTTAAGCAATCTCGAGTATTTTTTGGACTTTTTTAAGAAATGTTAAGTCTGAAAAAAGCTATTATCATTAGAGTAATAAAAAAAATACTCTGATACGCAACTATAATAGGTAAAATTAATAAAGTTTAATTTTTAGTTTAATGAAATTTTGTTTATTTGTCAAGAAATTTAATTTACATTTTTTTATCATATTTAATGAAATTTATTTATTCATTCGTTGTTTGCTTCTTCAGAATATTCATGGTCTTGTCCTTCGGAATAATCATAGTTTTCTGCTTGGGAAAAGTCATAACCTTCTCCTTCTGGCTCAATCAATTCAATTTCTTCCTCATCTTTTTCCTCATTTTCTGTTTGTTGCTCAGGTGTTTCACCTTCTTCTTGGACATTTTTTCTCATTAACCTTTTATTTATTACATCCATATATTTTTTTATTATTACTGGATCAGAACTGTAGAGTCTTCTATGTATAACATCCGTAAAACTGTGTATTCTTGAAGTTTTTCTGGCACGTAGTTCTCTATCTTGTCTGAGATATTTGTTTTGTGACTCCCCGGCTTCTTCACTCATTCTTCCTAGAGGTAATGGTAAGGCTTCCATGTAGTGTTTTGCATGAGCAAGTGCTCTGTGAAGTGTTACTGGTATTTTGAACCAACTATATGTTGTCAAAAACATTCTGTATGTTTCTTTACAGTACCTATCAAATTCATCTAGATCATCAACTGGTTCTAAACTTCGAATTTGGTTTAGCACATAGCATATACGTTTAATTATTTCTTCATTAAGATATAGAGTTTTAGCTAGAAGCTCTGGATTTTCAAGAACTTTTCTTGCAACGTTTCCTGTATCTGATGATCCAGCTCCCCCTTGTCTTGGTTCGAGTACACGAACATTAAATGCATCCCACATTGCTTGCTTTATTCTAGCCTTTTCAACATCTAAAACAATCTGTTCCTCTTCAGTTATCTCCAGCCAGTGTTTTTGAACATATTGTTTATATGACAAATCATATAGAGTCGTGAGTACGTTCATTGATGTATGAAGTGGCTGAGTGTTGAAATACAAGTGTTCTTTAACAAATTTTCTGTGTGTTTTTTCGAATCTTCCATTATCAAGATTATTTATGTCACTCATCTCGTTTGGTCCAGATCTACAAAGCTGACATCTGCAATATCCTGATGTTTCTGTAAGGTCTGTGTAAACTTTTCCATCTAACATTGTGGGGTAGAATTTGTACGTAATTTCCAAAAGCATGTCTTCACATATGAATCTCTGTGGTTCAAGTTTTGATATTTGATTTTTTATATCTTCATATATCCTTCTAACATTTACTCTGGTTTCTTTGGCATGTTCAAGTTGTATTGGTCGTACTGAGTATACAGATTGACTGTTTTCGTTGTCCCATAAGCAGATATAATTTCCGTTTTCGTCTTCATGTCGTAGTTGCTGAACACTCATACTAACTGTCAATAGTGATTTGTCTTCTATAATTTCATTATTAGTCGTTTGATTCGGTTGTGTTCTATCTCGTTCTTGATTTCTTGAATTTGTTTTTCCTTGGTTATACTGTGACTGTCCTGTTGTTCCGTCCATCCCCCATGTGACGATCATTTCTGCATGAATAACTTTTGGAGTTGATTCTGAAGGTAATATTTTGATTTTGTCGTATATTTCTGAATTGTGTGCTTCAATAACTCTTTTTGTGGTGAGTTGTGTCAAATTTTTTAGTGGAATAACGGCTCTTGTATCGGTGACCGTTATGTCATCAGGATAGCATTGTTTCTCTAACCTCAACAATTTTTTAGCTGTCGGTAAAACGTTTTCGCATTCCAGTTTCAGGACTTGTCGAATATTGTTGTACTGATTTCGAGATAAATTGTTAAAGGCTTTTACACCTAGAGCTACATGTATATCTAGTTGTTTAGGTTTTGATGTAGTTTTTTCTGGAAGATCCTCTCCTTTTTGGCACGCCTTAATAAATTCTTTTAACATTTTAGCTCCTTCTACTTTTCCTTCTTCTTTAGAAAGGCGAAGTGCCAAGTGAAGAACTGATAACAATGATCCTTTTGCTTCTTTTAAACTGATATCTAATTCGTCCACTCTTCTACGTCGATGCTTATCGCTTGTTAGTTGTTCAAATGATTTCCTCTTGATGCCCTTGCTGGATGAAGGCTCTATGTCATGGACGATGTATTCAATCTCATCCATATCTTCATCTGTGTCAGTAACATTTTCTGCTTCATATATAGATTCTTCCTCAAAAAGAATCCCTCCACTAGATTCGCTGAAGTATCGTGAGTCAACTTCAAATTCCTCTTCATAGAAATCTGCATGATCTCTTAATGCATTATTCCAATTTGACTGATTACAAAACATTTTTGACTTTGACTTCAGCTTGTTTAATTTATTAATTAAACTTGGTTTCTGTGATTCCGCTAATTCTCTCCCATGAATTTCTTCTATTACTGCCAAACAGTACGTGTGCTGTGTTGCAAGATTTAACGTTTTGTCGCGAAGAATTTCACAGAGTGTTTTCTTCGTAAGTGTTGAATTTTGGTTCATTTTTGAAAGTGACTTGTTCAATGAAGTTCAAAACTGATATGATGTGTAGAGAGAATTTCACGAGTATATATATAAAATAGTTTCAAAACTGAGATTTTCACACCTGATAGTGACTACCAAGGGTACTTTACAAAGTTGTTAACTAGGGAAGTAAAAAGTTTCTAAATTTAATTTTTTGGCTTTATAATCTCATAAATGTCATAAATAAACATAAAAAAGTTCTAAAAAAATACTCGAGATTGCTTAAAAGTGGTATTTTTGAAAATGCAATTTTTGGGAATTTTTCAAAAACTGCGTATGTCACAATCAACAGCCCTATAAATAACCAGGACTAAGTTAACTAGCAAGTATTATATATCGTTGGATAGGTATTACATTAGGCTACAATAATCCGAAAACAGAATTAAAAAATATTTTTTCAAAAAAAAGTTATAGTGGTTTAAGTAGGGTGACAAATGGCCAAATCGATGGAGAGCACATACCCCCTATATCTCGAAAGATTTTGAAGTTTTTGAAAAATTTTCTTCACAAAATCATTTAAATTGTTATTTTTCATAAGAAAACACCAAAAAACTATTTTTAAAACTATGTTTTCGTATTTTTAAAAGAATTATTAGTTTTTGGCCAAATACTCAACGACCTACTAAAATCAACATAACTCAATTACGTTAGCTTACTTTTTCAAAGTTTATACAGTTTTGAAAACTAGATATATGGGGCTACAAAACTGCGTTTTTACTTGCCTGGAAACTCTTCATTTATGATAGTTGCGGCTTGTTTGAAGATAATTTTCCTGAAATTTTCACATATGTTCTACCATAATGGCACGAAAACATTCAGAACCTAAACTTTGTTATATGTCAAAATAAAGCTCTTATATACTACTAATAGGAACTGAAAACCGTTTTGCAATATCTTAAACCAGTTAAGATATTTCCCGGTTCAAACATGGTATGAAAAAACCAGAATTTTCACTAGTTTTCAACTTCAAACAGCTCTAGAATCGCGAAATCAGCACCAAATGACCTGAAATTTGGCATTTCTATCTACTTTTATGTCCTCTACAAGAAAAAATCACCCAAAAAGTGTAAATCGGAAAAGTCCATTTTTCAAAGTGAAAGTCCCTTTTTTTTTCATTTTGCCCCATAGTGTCATGCAAACTATCCAGACATCTATAACTTTTTTGCTTCATAGCCTATAAATTTATAACAAGCACCAATCATTGCAAAACTCTGGTTTTAAAATTTTAATAATTAACGAGGAGAAGCAGCAGATGTAAAATTGACATTTTGTTGCTTCGGTTCCATTACTAATGCATAATTTTAAAGCCATTATTGGCATACACAATGCGTTTATACTTTATCGATAACAGTTGGTTGATTTGTCTACGATTTTTCCAATATTCAATTGATTGTTGGTTGTGATGGAGTTGCCTTGAACTTGGATTGAATATTATAAAGGATTATTAAAGAAGATTTTCGCCATTGACTGTTTATATCAAAGATTTATTGATGCTCAGATAAATTAGATGTGATTCAATATAATTCTTGAAGTTGTCAAATAATTTATAAAATTTAATAAAATCTTAAATTTCATTAACGAAGATAAATCCAAGAGTATTGAAAACTTTCTTTTAAAAATCAATGAAAACTTTATAAAGCATCCAGAATAAGTTTTCAAGTTCATCATTCATCTCTTCGAAACTTCAAAACTTTTCAATCTTTTAATTTAAAAAAGCGTAAAAGTTCACAATATAAACAAGTTTCAATGCTGCTTTTATGGAAACAACGTTATGAAATTAATAGTTTCCTTTGGGAAATGCTTTTATTATTGATACAACCTATTTGACATGCAAAGACAAAATTTTGCGTCTTATAAATTAAGTATGATGAAATATTTTGTAAATTTTTTTGAAAATTTCCTCAAAATCAATTAAAACTTATGTTTTTAGACAGTCAATAGCAGAACTCGAAATCAACAGATCGTAAATATACTAGAATCGACTTGATTCAACTTAAGTGTGTCGACTCAATAACGGTTGATATAAATATGTATGCTCAACTCTACTTAATTTCAAACTCAGATCTAATTAGTTTGAATGATAATAATAAATATGAGTCACAATCACGTGATAAATCACAAGCACCGAATGATATTATCAAACAATAATAGTACAAAAAATCATAAACAATGTGCTCTACGCGGTAAACTGAAGTTATTTCTATATAATACTCATAAAAACTCAATCAATTGCCTGTAATGCAACATATCGATTTCCATTACGTTCACGTGAAAATTTATTATCAGTTGATGATTTATAGCATGTCTCATTTTATCTTCTTTTTTGTAATCTTTTTCCAATCTTCTAGATTATTCAATCCTAAATATCAGAACAGATGATATTTTCCTTAAAAGATTTCTTTCGTGCTGTGAATGGAATGCAAATGACGCTTTTCAAAGAATTAAGAAACTTTTTAAACTCAAGGTGAGTGCATTGACTAAAAATGAAGAGAAATTTCAATTTTATAATAATGAACTTATTTTCTTTAACTCTAGTTTGACCACCCTAAATGGTTTCTCAACAAAAAACTCAACGATTACGATGATATTTTGAAACAAACAGCAAAGGTTATGCTTCCTGGTCGAGACAAGAAGGGAAGGAGAGTTTATCTTAGTCGAATGTGTAAGTTTAGCTGTTTTTTTGTTTGAAGGAACTAGAATTGTGGTAAAAATTGCCGAGAAAAAAAGATTTTCTCAAAGCAATCCCAAAATCAAGTGTGCGAAGCTGTTCAATGGATTTTTTCGATAATTTTTGAACAGCTCCACAACCTTGGTCAATATATAATTCATGAGTTTAAGTTTCTATGAAATCTCAAATCAAGAATTAATGGTCTTCCAACCTAAAACCACCAATCATTCACTCTAGTTCCGCAATTCGTCTCCTATTACATCAACATAATCATTTGTTTATTTTATTCCTCATTATTCATCAATCTGCAGCAACAATTGGTCATTTATCGCTCTTTGATATGGCACAGTTGGATGACTTGTGGTTTGAAGCCATGCTAAATGAAAATGATACGATTGAAAATGGAATTGTTGTACTCGTTGATATGAGTGGGTAAGTAATGTGATGGAACGAATGTGAAAGTGAAATTGTCTAGACTTGAAGCTATGATTTAGGTCAGTTTAAGATATTATCATCAAGTCTAGCATCTATATCTTAAAATGAGATATTCTAATGCTTTAACTCTATATTTTCAGATATTCATGGAAAATGCTCAAGTGGCTAGCGCCAGGCAACGTCAAAGTTGCATCAACAAAGGCTGAATTACTTCCACTTAAACAAATGGAAGTGCATGTCGTCAACTCATCATCACTCATGAACACAGCAATTAATCTCGTTTTTCCATTGCTAAGTCAATCGATAAAGGATCAAGTGTTTTTCCATTATCAGAATTTTCCATCCTTACACGAGCATCTTGGACAAGATGTTCTTCCGGCATGCTACGGTGGAACGCAAGAAATGTTGAGCTTTCAAGACTTTAATAATTATTTATATAAGCATGAAGACTACTTGAATAGATCAATAATGTATGGATTTACGACTTGCCCATCAGCTGATGGAGTGATGAAAGACAAAAAGAAGCAGAAGAAAGATAGTCTTGTAATAGCTGAGTCAATTTAATGACTTTGTTGATATTTTTTCTGTTTATTATTTTTGGTTATTTTTATATGTGTTGGAAGTTAGACTGAATATTCAGATTATTGATTATTCTTCAAAATCAGGGCTAGATATGAATGTCATCATCATCTTTAACCATGCCCTACCGCATATCCTTCAAATTTTTTATACTCTCATAAAAATGCATCCGAATAAATTCAGTCCATAGGTTTTGATAGCTAATTTAAATATTCAATGTTTAATTTTCTGAATGAGCTGATGATGATGCTCTAGACATTGAATATATTTTGAAACATAAAAACAAGTTTAACATAAAAATTGCATTGACTCAATCTGAATCTTCAGCACTTCCAACAAGTTAATACATTTTCCTTTCATTTTTTTTTCGGGGTAATTGACACATCATCAATTATTTTTGTAAATAGAGAAGTAATCAAGGTTAATGGGTCTTAAAAAAATTCATATGCGAATCATAATTAAGTTACATAAATAGATGTACAATGTACAAAGTATATTTTTCTTTAGGTGACCAGATGACACCAAAATGTTATGTAAAATATTGTGAACATATATATTTTGATAAATAAAAAGAAAATATGAAAAAAAGGTATTGCGCGACATTCAATTTCATTATTGGCATTTTATTCACAAATATTAATACATTTGACATCCAAAAACCATCATAAGCAGCTATTTGAAAAGGTGTGTAAGTCTTTTTTTGCGCATATATGTAAATTGAAAATATTTTTTGGTTTGAAAGAAAGTGAAACAAAGCAGATGACCCAATAAAGTGGTTTCATAAGATATTTTATGTATTTATATGGAGGATACGACTGACCCAGTGAATTATTTTGCAACTTTTTATGCATGTATCTGTTCCTATTGTTTGCTGTTGCTGTAGTGAGCTTTTTTAACCAACGCAACTACATTTTATGTTAAATTTACTATTGCTTTAATGACGCCAATAAGTCTGCAAGTCGATTAATGTAAATTATCAAAAAATAATTGTAAAAAAGTTTTTAAAAAGTCAACAGCACGTAGCGTTCCCAAGCGGTCACCCATCTAAGTACTAACTACGCTCGACGTTGCTTAACTTCGATGATCGGACGAGAACCGGTGTTTTCAACGTGATATGGTCGTTGACAAAGGTTGTTGTGGCTAGTTCCACTTCTTAAACAACTCCTGAAGCATGTTTCATTCAAAAAAATGGAGTTTTCAAAACAAAAGTCTTTGAATCTGATAGTAAAAATGAAAAATTTTAAAAGAACGGATGCAAAAAGGAACAAAAAGTCAACAGCACGTAGCGTTCCCAAGCGGTCACCCATCTAAGTACTAACTACGCTCGACGTTGCTTAACTTCGGTGATCGGACGAGAACCGGTGTTTTCAACGTGATATGGTCGTTGACAAAGTTTGTTGTGGCTAGTTCCACTTCTTAAACATTTTCCAAGGGTCAGACACTCCAACAGAATGGTAAGGATTGTGCAATCCTTACAATCCTTCCATACGAATTGTGAGGATTGTACAATCCTTACAATTCCTACAATCCTTTTCATATAAGGATTGTAAGGATTGTACAATCCTTACTAAACAAAAAATAATGCCCATTTATTTTTAAAAAAATAAAATAAAATACGAAAAATGAAGAAAGTCAGAAATTTTTTTGAAAACAATTATATTTAAAATGCAATAATTTACTGTGAATCAATTCGAATGATTTTTTATACATTTCAACTCATTAAAAAGTTTTAAAAAGTATAATTTTTAAAAGGATTTTGATTTAAATCATTTTTTTCAAAGGGATTTTTTTTTGGATTTTGATTTAAATCTATTGTATGGAAGATTTTATTGGGATTTTAAAATCCCTCCATGCAAGATTTTTGTTTTCAATTTCTCAAATTATTTTTCAAATCAACAGTTTTCAGTTGCAGTTCCTAAAGTAAGAATGCAGTTGATCATTTTTTTGGCCAGAATCTTGCAACTGGATCTTTTAGATCCAAGCATTTCTTAAAAAAAGGTTACAGCAACCAATGGTTCCATGCTGTTTGACTTAAACGAAATCCAATTCGTGATTTTTTATCTTCTGTGCCTTGATGTACGAAAGGAATCGGCCATTTCCGAAAAAAAATTTTGACTTCAAGAGGTGAATCCTTGATGAAAAAGCAACAAAAAAATTTTTGTGGGTGTAAAGGAACCAGGCAGTTCAAGTGCCTATTCTTGCTTATGACTCATTAAACTAACGTACTGTAATAAAAGATATTTAAGTTTTTGAAAGCCTTGAAAGCAGGGAAATCCTCATATGAAGTAAGATCCAGGCATGATTGATAAAATCCAGTTATTTATAAGCAAGCAGCAAGGCACAGAAGATTAAAAAACAAGAAATGGATTTCGTTCAAGTCAAACAGCATGAAACTATTGGTTGCTGTAACCTTTCTTTAAGAAATATTTGGATCTAAAAGATCCAGTTGCAAGATTCATGCCAAAAAAGGATCAACTGCATTCTTACTTATTAGGAACTGCAACTGAAAACTGTTGATTTGAAAAATAATTTGAGAAATTGAAAACAAAAATCTTGCATGGAGGGATTTTAAAATCCCAATAAAATCTTTCATACAAGAGATTTAAATCAAAATCCAAAAAAAAATCCCTTTGAAAAAAATGATTTAAATCAAAATCCTTTTTAAAATCATTACAAAAAGATTTTGATTTTGATATTTGATTTAAATCACCCACCCTGGTTATAAATAAAAAAATTGATATATCAAGCTTATTTCGTTCTTTAAAGTCAAACATATAAATTTTTAATATTAAATTAATATTTCTTCTCTAATAATCCATGAAAAACATTTTTAAATGTTCCATACAATTATTTCAACCTTACAATCCTTATATGGAAAGGATTGTAAGAATTACAATTCCTACAATACTTTCCATATAAGGATTGAATGGATTACAATCCCTACAATCCTTCTCATATTAAGATTGTAAGGATTGTACAATCTTTACAATCCTTCCATATGGATTGTGAAGAATTGTACAATCCTTTCCAATTCTGTTGGAGTGTCTGACCCCAAACATTTTCTCAACTATGGTTCATAAAAAAAAATGGATTTTTCAAAACAAAAGTCTTTGAATCTGATAGTAAAAATGAAAAATTTTAAAAGAACGGATGCAAAAAGGAACAAAAAGTCAACAGCACGTAGCGTTCCCAAGCGGTCACCCATCTAAGTACTAACTACGCTCGACGTTGCTTAACTTCGGTGATCGGACGAGAACCGGTGTTTTCAACGTGATATGGTCGTTGACAAAGTTTGTTGTGGCTAGTTCCACTTCTTAAACAACTCCTGAAGCATGTTTCATTCAAAAAAATGGATTTTTCAAAACAAAAGTCTTTGAATCTGATAGTAAAAATGAAAAATTTTAAAAGAACGGATGCAAAAAGGAACAAAAAGTCAACAGCACGTAGCGTTCCCAAGCGGTCACCCATCTAAGTACTAACTACGCTCGACGTTGCTTAACTTCGGTGATCGGACGAGAACCGGTGTTTTCAACGTGATATGGTCGTTGACAAAGTATGTTGTGGCTAGTTCCACTTCTTAAACAACTCCTGAAGCATGTTTCATTCAAAAAAATGGAGTTTTCAAAACAAACGTCTTTGAATCTGACAGTAAAAATGAAAAATTTTAAAAGAAAGGATGCAAAAAAGAACAAAAAGTCAACAGCACGTAGCGTTCCCAAGCGGTCACCCATCTAAGTACTAACTACGCTCGACGTTGCTTAACTTCGGTGATCGGACGAGAACCGGTGTTTTCAACGTGATATGGTCGTTGACAAAGTATGTTGTGGCTAGTTCCACTTCTTAAACAACTCCTGAAGCATGTTTCATACAAAAAAAATGGAGTTTTCAAAACAAACGTCTTTGAATCTGACAGTAAAAATGAAAAATTTTAAAAGAAAGGATGCAAAAAAGAACAAAAAGTCAACAGCACGTAGCGTTCCCAAGCGGTCACCCATCTAAGTACTAACTACGCTCGACGTTGCTTAACTTCGGTGATCGGACGAGAACCGGTGTTTTCAACGTGATATGGTCGTTGACAAAGTATGTTGTGGCTAGTTCCACTTCTTAAACAACTCCTGAAGCATGTTTCATTCAAAAAAATGGAGTTTTCAAAACAAACGTCTTTGAATCTGATAGTAAAAATGAAAAATTTTAAAAGAACGGATGCAAAAAGGAACAAAAAGTCAACAGCACGTAGCGTTCCCAAGCGGTCACCCATCTAAGTACTAACTACGCTCGACGTTGCTTAACTTCGGTGATCGGACGAGAACCGGTGTTTTCAACGTGATATGGTCGTTGACAAAGGTTGTTGTGGCTAGTTCCACTTCTTAAACAACTCCTGAAGCATGTTTCATTCAAAAAAATGGAGTTTTCAAAACAAAAGTCTTTGAATCTGATAGTAAAAATGAAAAATTTTAAAAGAACGGATGCAAAAAGGAACAAAAAGTCAACAGCACGTAGCGTTCCCAAGCGGTCACCCATCTAAGTACTAACTACGCTCGACGTTGCTTAACTTCGGTGATCGGACGAGAACCGGTGTTTTCAACGTGATATGGTCGTTGACAAAGTTTGTTGTGGCTAGTTCCACTTCTTAAACATTTTCCAAGGGTCAGACACTCCAACAGAATGGTAAGGATTGTGCAATCCTTACAATCCTTCCATACGAATTATGAGGATTGTACAATCCTTACAATCCCTACAATCCTTTTCATATAAGGATTGTAAGGATTGTACAATCCTTACTAAACAAAAAATAATGCCCATTTATTTTTAAAAAAATAAAATAAAATACGAAAAATGAAGAAAGTCAGAAATTTTTTTGAAAACAATTATATTTAAAATGCAATAATTTACTGTGAATCAATTCGAATGATTTTTTATACATTTCAACTCATTAAAAAGTTTTAAAAAGTATAATTTTTAAAAGGATTTTGATTTAAATCATTTTTTTCAAAGGGATTTTTTTTTGGATTTTGATTTAAATCTATTGTATGGAAGATTTTATTGGGATTTTAAAATCCCTCCATGCAAGATTTTTGTTTTCAATTTCTCAAATTATTTTTCAAATCAACAGTTTTCAGTTGCAGTTCCTAAAGTAAGAATGCAGTTGATCATTTTTTTGGCCAGAATCTTGCAACTGAATCTTTTAGATCCAAGCATTTCTTAAAGAAAGGTTACAGCAACCAATGGTTCCATGCTGTTTGACTTAAACGAAATCCAATTCGTGATTTTTTATCTTCTGTGCCTTGATGTACGAAAGGAATCGGCCATTTCCGAAAAAAAATTTTGACTTCAACAGGTGAATCCTTGATGAAAAAGCAACAACAAAAAATTTTGTGGATGTAAAGGAACCAGGCAGTTCAAGTGCCTATTCTTGCTTATGACTCATTAAACTAACGTACTGTAATAAAAGATATTTAAGTTTTTGAAAGCCTTGAAAGCAGGGAAATCCTCATATGAAGTAAGATCCAGGCATGATTGATAAAGTCCAGTTATTTATAAGCAAGCAGCAAGGCACAGAAGATTAAAAAACAAGAAATGGATTTCGTT